TTCCTTTACTGGAGTTACAGCGGGGCGGCGAATGTGGGACAATGTTCTCTCCTCTGATCCCTAGATTCCACCATGAGATGTGATATGTGACAAATACTGAACTAACTGAGCAGCCAATCGTGTCGATCGTCGCCTACCATGTTGTTACAGATATGGGCATCTCCTGTTGGCGCTTTGGTAAACTGCATGCTGACACAGGCTTACACTGTGATGTACTATATGCGTAGACGCGGTAGGGTGCATGTGATGGAGTTGTGAGTTCTGGGGCAAGAGGGACCTGGTCCAAGGAAGAGAACCAAGACGACCCAGAGACCAGGTCGAGGGACTCGTCGATGCGGGGGAGGGGGTATGAATCCTTCTTGGTGACCCCGTTCACCGGCCTGTAGTCTGAGCACAGACACCAGCCACCTGTCTTCTTTGGGATCATGACTACAGGTGCTGCCCCACGGGCTGTCGGAGGGCTCTATGATGTCTGCCTGCAGCAATGTGCAGCATGCTCTGCACTGCTTCGTCACAAGCCTGCTGACGGGCCAGGGGAAGTCGGCGAGGACGACACTTGACAGGGCGCGAGTCCCCTGTATCAATCTCGTGATCTACCAGATGAGTTCGGCCCACCTCCTCCTCACTCATGGCGAAACTGCCCTGGAACTCTAGCAGCAGCTGCCAAAATTGCTCCTGCTGCTCGGGATTAAGGCCGCCACAGTTCTTCCTCCACACCTCCAATATTCCAGTCTGGGGTAACTGGGGGGGGCTGGGACTGGGTGGCACAGGCCGGAGGTGACAGGTGCGGAGTTGCCCTGAGTGGGTGTCACCGGGGATAAAGGCAAGGAGGAAGGATTGTTTACAGTTTCTAGGGTACTCACTGGGTGCGTAGGGGTCTCCCAGAAGGTTCAGCAAGGGTGTGTATACGGGTAATAGTGATCACAGGCCCCCCCGTGGAAACTCACTGTGCCTGCTTGAAGATCCAGGTGGCAACCAGTCGCCCTCAAAAAGTCCAAACCCAGAATACACGGGTCCTGCACTTCTGCTATCCACACCGGATGCTGCACTTTAACTCCCCCCACCAACACAGTCAGCATGCCTTTTCCTTTCATAGGTGCCAGCTCTCCCGTGACTGTGAGTAGACGCACCGCTGTCGGTTCAAATTGAGTCCCACTGGGCAACACATCTGCTCTCACCAGGGTTACTGTCAAGCCTGTGTCCACCAGTGCAGTGCAGGGCACCCCTTCCACAGTGACAGGGACTTAACAGGAATCCCAACCACCAACACGGCCCACCGCGACGACAGGCTCCAAGCATGTGCTGTCATCTTTTTCAGGAGGGAGTAGAGTCTGGCTCCCCCGGCTGTGCTGTCGGGCTCCTTCCTCAGATGTGTTGGTGGCAATAAGGCTGTGGTTTGGTTTTTTGGGCCTGGCTCCGCATCTTCCCCTTCATGCGGGCTGCGCGTCGTTTCCCTGGGCCCGGTGTGCCTTGGGCAGTCTCTGGCCAAATGTCCTGGCTGACCACACCCCCAGCAGACCCTGGTACTTGGCCTGCGTTGCACAGCCGGTGGACCCACCCCTTCGCTGCTCCTAGCAGCTACACTCCACACATTCTCTCTCTCCACAGCCATCTCCAAGGCCGCCTGCAAGGACTGTGGATGCTGCAGCTGTACCTCGACCCTCAAGTCAGCAGGGAGCAGGGCCCTGATGAATTGATCCCACGCCAGCTCACTCTGCACTCCGGGTGTGCATACGCCTACCACGTCAGGCTTTCCGAGTCGTTAGCAAGCAGTAGCAGGCATGATAGAGCCTCTTCTGTAGGCACAAAGCTAACTGTAGCGCTTTAGTCTCTATTGACCACCCCCCTGCATGTGCTAGCAGTTCAAATTGGGCATCGAAAGCCCCCCAGTCCGACCTACCCGAGTGTAGATTAAACGTCTGTGTAGCAATGCAGTGGGAGTCACCGACTCAGGAAGGAGACACGGTGGAGCAAGAGCTTTGATGTCAAACACTGATGATTTATTTGGAGTTTCGGCCGGAGAGTTCACATCACAAATCACAGCAGTCACGGTGAGACTGCATGGGTGGGTTGCCACGTCAATTCTGGAGCGCCTCTCTCTTGTTAGCCCATTTAACTGGTTTCACAGAGAGTAATCAACATATTTTGATAAGATAGCTTTAGACAGTTGGGCACACTGAGTCACTTGCGTCCGTCACTTATGGCCTCGAAGATGTCATACCTTGGAGTCCATAAGCAACAAAGAAGGAAGTGTCTCAGTGCACCCACAACAACAGACCATCTGTGACCTAGTGTTGACCGGTCACAGAATGGGAACAATAACATTATGGCTCAAGCAGCCTATGTCCTTAAAGGAGATAAACAGACGTCAGGGTTGGTCCTGTACGTCATATCTAGGAGTCTAGGACAATTATTTCCCTAACACCGAGTACTTTGGTGTTTTCACGGACACGGCTGCTACTGGTAGCTGGGCGCCGCCATTGTTGTTTACATCCAGATGGGCGCCGCCATTGTTGTTTTCATCCCGAATGTTAATGGCGCGAAACGCTGCTGAGGACGGAGTCATCCCCGCGTCTCTAGCCATCCTCACCGCCGACTCTCTCAGGCGCTCTCTCGCCTCCCGTGCACTCTTGAACTCCGTACTCATGTCCTTCGACCACCCGCATGCTCCATCTTCCTCTCCGTCACTCTTTTCTTGCTTCACTCCCATCCTCCCAAACTCATTCATCTCCGCTAGCTCACTGGCTATAACTCCGTGACGCAGTTACGAGCTCCCGTCAGGATAGACGTCCTTCGTTCGAAAAAGTCACTTCTGACACCAATGTAACGCTCCACAATAGGAGTCGGAAACAGGCCTCAAGTTATTAGGTTTAATAGCTCCTTTGGTAGCATACAAATACAGGTTCATAGGTCACAGGTTACAGGTCGCAGGTTCAACGTGAATCTAGTACTCCACTCACTAACTCACACACGACACAGCAGGGTCAACGTCACACACTCGCCAGCCCTCCCCCTCTGCTCCCCCAACCCGCACACCGACCAGCATTACTGTGCAGCTCTGTGATTGGCAGAGAGACGAGGGATGCTTGAGTGACCCACACAGCACCCTATACAGGGTCGCTACAATATTTACTAAACTAAAGCAATAAAGAGAGTAATGTAGGCCTGAGGAGTCGAGGAGGGGAAATTAGAGAAATTAGAAACCTTCAGAGTGTCCGGGATCTCCTCAGCAGGTCCTTCCAGAGTCTATGGCCCTTTCTCATTTCACTAATTTCCCCTCCTCAAATCCTCGGTCCTCCGGTAGTGACCCGGAAATGGATTTCAGCGCGCCATGTTGAAGGACATCTCATTTCTCTAAATGCACTTCGAGGACCGAGCATCGAGCATCGAGGAGGCTCTCTGGAGGAGCTCTAACCGAGGATACACTGATGGGTCCTCCGCGGATCCTCCACGGATGTATTTCCGGCAGCAGTGATGTTTAAAAGAGGTGTGACGCACGGCCGGAGTTATCTCAGCCAATGACAGCTCTGCATGCATCGAGGATACACTGGGTTGCCTCATCTTGCGGAGGGTGCCTCAACTGAGCCGAAAATGCGGCGCAATTAGTGTGGCGCGGCACAGTTTCGCCGCTGTGAAGCTCCAAAGCTCTCATCATATAACTTTGCGTGGGGCCTCATGTTGGCCAGGGACGGCCCTGGGTGCGTGTGGTACAGTGTGTGTGTGTGTGTGTGTGTGTGTGTGTGTGTGTGTGTGTGTGTGTGTGTGTGTGTGTGGTGTGTGTGTGTGTGTGTGTGTGTGTGTGTGTGTGTGTGTGTGTGTGTGTGTGTGTGTGTGTATATGTGTGTGTGTGTGTGTGCGTAGATGCGGCGGACTCAGTTGGATTGGTGTCCTATGCTTACTTTTAATACTTGTAAATAAAACTTTTGGCCCGTAATTTCATTTCCTCATTGTGGCGACGATAAGTCTGATAGGGTTACGTTATTATGAGAGTGCTCTCATACCTGTTTGAATCTGAAATTGTATATTATATAAATATATATATAAATATATATATGTGTGTGTGTGTGTGTGTGTGTGTGTGTATGTCCGCATCTATAGCCTGTTATTGTCTCATTATACTGCACTGTGAATGAATCAAAGTAAATATATAAGTGGTCATGAACACATCTGTCCATCAGACAGAGGGCTGCTGTGCCTCCTGTCATCATTAATGGACGTCTCTTTAAAATGACCGCTCAGAGGAGAGGAGTTCTCATTTCTCTAACCGCCTGCTGCTTCCCCTCCTCTCTCCTCGGTTCCCCTCCTCAGTCCTCCGCTCGCATCTCCTGTGGTCGGGACTAAGACACGAGGATAGGAGTCAAGGAGGGGAGTTAGAGAAATGAAAAAGAGTGGAGAGGCTCTGCCTTGTGATTTAATCTGAACCATGGAAGGACCAGGAGCAAAGCTTCTGAGAATCTCAGCATGCGAGGGAACATAACGCAATAAAAAGATCAAGCAAGTCCGCTCTGGACTTTAAGATTAATCAATAAAAAATGTAAATCCATTCTAAAGCAACAGGTAGCCAGGATCGGTGTGATGTGGTCGTTCAAGTTGCGTTGATCATGTAATTAGTTAAAACAATTATGTAGCCTAAATGATGAACTTGGATGAAAGATAAAGGCATGTTATCTATGAAGCAACAGTCTTCACAGGTAGATAGTCAGCCACATCGAAACACAGAGGCTGCCTCCAGGCAGGTATACTAGTGAATCCTCAAACTATTCTGAAAGAAATATGCTGCAGTAAGCACAAAAATCCACACAATGTTTTTAACAGAATGTTGACACAAGGTGACAGAAGGATTTGCATGACTAATCCCATTACCTTTTACCTTCATTGATCTATAAAATATGTAATCCTTAAAAAAGCTGATATTTGATCAGCTGTGGCTGTGGTCCAGTATGCATGTTCCATAAATTGCCACAACACTTACTTTGTTATTTGATCGTTACATAAACCAGATGTGGAGCGAAATGACAGAGCTGGTGTCCTCCAACAACAACTACTCCTGCTACCGGAAGGCCTTCAGTGAGTGCCAGGGCTTTAAGACCCCCATCCTGGGGGTGCACCTGAAGGACCTGATCGCAGTGCATGTGGTCTTCCCTGACTGGGGGCATGACAGCAATGAGGTGAACCTGGTGAAGATGCATCAGCTCTACATGACCTTCAACGAGTTGGTGTCCTTGCAGACTGCGGTGGCCCAAGTGGAGCCCAACATGGACCTGATCTACCTGCTGACGGTGAGGGCCCCCCTCCACACATAGAACCTCAGGGGAAGCATTTAATGCTGGCAAAATATGTGTGCATATATAAGGAATTGGCCAAATATCAAATTTACAACAGAAAAAAATATGTATCTCTGTCTTTCTCTTTTGTTTCTGTTTCAATTCAACATCAATCATATTCAGCACAGCTTCTTCTGAGAGGAAGAGGAGTAAATAGAGTAAGAAGGATTTAAAAACTGTTGTCAAGCATTTTTGTAGCAAAACATATTAATCAGAATAGTTTTGTTGGTCAAAATATAAAAGCATTAGCCTGGGTGTAGGACGGAAATGTATTTCGTCTTTTTTGTAACTTGCATAAAACTAATATAAGCCCCCAAAAATAGATGGGTTTAACACCACAGGACAAACCAGAAAAATATATGTTTGACATCGGCCCCTGATCTGATTTCTCGGACCAAAACTAGTTTAAAGCTGCCACTCGCTTTTTCTACCTGACACCCAGGACCTGTCACTGCGCTCCAGATCACAAAACATATCCAAATCTACTGTGAAGTGCTCTGTGTATTGGATCTAATAATGGAGAAGCACCACATCAGTGTAATCCAAGAAAAAAAAAATCAGTGCTATATATTTCCAACAGTGTGATTAATCAATATGTAATAGTCTATACATTAAACTAAAGCTTACTGTGTTATACTCAATTGTTTATAGATTAAACTAATGATATCCAAAACCCTTTTGTTTTCAGCTTTCTTTAGACCTTTATTACACCGAAGATGAGATTTATGAGTTGTCATTACTAAGGGAACCACGTAACCACAAATCATTGGTGAGTTTCAAATCGAATGTATTTTGTGTTCAGCTTTGTCCACACTGTGTGCATGCTGGATACACTTTATAGGTATGCTAAAATATTCAGGATTTGCACTGTTTGACAACTTATAATTGTTCATACCTGTCAAAAGTTTGGACACACCTTCAAATTCGAAGTTTTTTATTTAATTTTTAATTTGTATACTTTGTATTAATACTTAAGACATCAAAATTATGAAAGAACACATATGGAATTATCTAGTTAACCAAAAAGGTGTTGAAAAACCCAGAATATGATTTATATTTTAGATTCTTCAAAGTAGCCCCCTTTTGCCTTGATGACAGCTTTGCACACTCTTGGCTTCTCTCAGTCAGCTTCATGAGGTCGTCACCTGGAATGGTTTTCAATGAACACGTGTGCCTTGTCAAGAGTCCATTAGTGGAATGACTTGCCTTCTTAATGTGTCTGGTGACACTGTTGGTGATTTATTCAAAATGCAAGGCACACTTTACCAGCATGGCTACCACAACATTCTGCAGTAGCCATCTAAATATAAATCATATTCTGGATTTCTTTAACACTTTTTTGTTTACTAGATAATTCCATATGTGTTCTTTTATAGTTTTGATGTCTTCAGTATAAATCTACAATATAGACAACATTTAAATAAATAAAAAACTTCTAATGAACACACAGAAGGTGTGTCCAAACTTTTGACTGGTAGTGTATTTGTATTATTTGTCATTTGTTACCCCTTTGGAACTATATAGTGGTGCAGGAACTAAAAACCTGTATTTGAATTAGCATTTTACCATTTCATGTTCCTTTGTCTCAAATTCAATAATTTTTCGAATGCGTTTTTGGTTGTTAGCCTGGAATAAGGTTTGTGGTTAACACAAGCTGAAGAGAGTTTCCCGTTTTGTTCTACAACATAAAATAAATCAGTAAATATCCCACTGGTGAAGCTGGCGTCTAAACGTCATCATGTCGAAAATGAACCAGCTTAGCGATGGTGAAGTGAATTTAAGTGACCGTGAGTAGTTTGTTTACAAATAAACCTTAGCTTTTTACTTCTCCTATTTGCATTCAGAAATTGGTGTTAATATGTGGAGATTATATCCCAGAGAGTTTATTTACTACAATAATCCAAATGAAAAAAACTTGTATTCTTGTCGAGGGAGCCATGGCAATGCTACCACTCTATTAGGAGAATTGGAAATCTAGGTGTGCAACAGATTATTTGCTGAATTTATTCCTGTGTCCGTGTACCTTGTCCTTCCTCACAGCCTACCTCTCCAACAACTCCCAACAAGCCCCTGGTCCCTCTGGACTGGGCCTCCGGGGTCCCCACCAAACCGGACCCCTCTGTAGTCAACAAACACATCAGGAAGGTGGTGGATGTGAGTGGACGACACACCTCTTCAAATTATACCTACAGAATGCATTGATTGGAAAGATGTAGAGATGTGTGTTTTAATTTATTTTTCTCGTCATTGGGAAGTCTGTGTTCAGGAATTATGACCATGACCATGATGGCTATATCTCTCAAGAGGACTTTGAGAGCATTGCTGCTAATTTCCCCTTCCTGGACTCCTTCTGCGTTCTGGACAAAGATCAGTGAGTGTACATGTTCAAATAATTCACTTCAGTATTAACTACACTTTTAACTGTAGTTTTAGTCCATTGCAGTTGTCACGATTCTTATGTCATGTCACGGTTTTAGTTTGGTGTGTCTGGTAATGGGTGTTTTGCTGTTCTATTTCGTATATGGCTTCGCCCTCTAAGGCTATCGCTATTGGGTTTACCCTTCTGCGCCCCCGCGCAGTACTGAAAACACTTGTAGTCCACGCCCACCCGCTAGGTGGGCCCCACCCTCGGGCCTCCTTCCAGTATAAATAGGGAGGTTGCCCGGCGATCTGCTCCCTCTTTTCTTAAGCAACCAGCAGTATACTGAAGCACGAGAAAAGCAACATCATGAGCAATAAAGAGTGTGTCCGTATGTGCCCTTCGTGCAATACGGGCTACATTATGAGCTACGATTTGCATCCAATATGCGCAGCCTGTCTGGGGCCAGAGCACGCGGACGCGGCTCTCAGCCAGCAGGTCGCATGTCCTCACTATGTGCGTCTTCCTTCATCCGACAGGAAGCGAAGGGCGGACGCTCTAGCTGCTGCGGGTGAGGAAGACGTCTGGGGTGGGCAGGAGCCCATCCAGAACACACCACCGTCGCTGTGCGCAGCCGTGGCGGTGTCCCAGGCGAGGACAGCCAGCGGTGAAGCAGCAGTGATACCAGCGGCAGCAGCAGCAGCGTCCGGCAGCGGCGGCCGGGGCACCGGGGGAGTGTGAGGAAAATAAAAAGAAGCTTATTTTCCAACATGTTGGCTGAGTCATCGGTTTCAAATGTGTTTCACATATCCCCCACGCTGGGTAAACCAGCTGCCTATGACCTATCGGTTAATAGCCAGCAGGATTCGTTACAAAAGCCTGCGCATTTTAATCTATCGATTAATAAGCTGCGGAGCACAGTAACTACACCAGCTGCCTTCAATCTGGTGATTAGTAGGCAGCATGGTTCGCTGCAGGGTTCTGGTGGTTATAACTTTCGGTTATTAAACCACAGACCTCGCGGCATTCCTCTATCCGAGATACGCCACCTACACACGGTGATTAAGCCCATGAGCGCCGTGGTAACGCCTCATGGGGTTATCACTGCACACACCTCCACCCATCCTCTGAGCGTGTACGCGCATCATGATGAGAGGCGGAGTGAATGCAACGTGTGAAGGCCTCCTCACAGCCTTTTCGCTAGGCCCACCTTGGGTTGCCTCGCGGGGCCTCCACCCCCCCCCACCAGGAGAGGGGGGGTACAAAAAGGGAGTGAGGTACTCCTGTTCGGCGTCTGCTCCATGAGAGCCGCCGAGGAGACAGAGCGGCCTTGACGGTTTGGGAGGGAGTGTGAGGAAAATAAAAAGAAGCTTATTTTCCAACATGTTGGCTGAGTCATCAGTTTCAAATGTGTTTCACATATCCCCCACTCTGGGTAAACCAGCTGCCTATGACCTATCGGTTAATAGCCAGCAGGATTCGTTACAAAAGCCTGCGCATTTTAATCTATCGATTAATAAGCTGCGGAGCACAGTAACTACACCAGCTGCCTTCAATCTGGTGATTAGTAGGCAGCATGGTCCGCTGCAGGGTTCTAGTGGTTATAACTTTCGGTTATTAAACCACAGACCTCGTGGCATTCCTCTATCCGAGATACGCCACCTACGCACGGTGACAATAAGCCCATGAGCGCCGTGGTAACGCCTCATGTTATCACTGCACACACCTCCACCCATCCTCTGAGCGTGTACGCGCATCATGATGAGAGGCGGAGTGAATGCAACGTGTGGAGGCCTCCTCACAGCCTTTTTGCTAGGCCCACCTTGGGTTACCTCACGGGGCCTCCGCCCCCCCACCAGGAGAGGGGGGGTAAAAGGGAGTGAGGTACTCCCGTTCGGCGTCTGCTCCATGAGAGCCGCCGAGGAAGCGGAGCGGCCTTGACGGTGGGGAGGAAGTGTGAGGAAAATAAAAGAAGATTATTTCCCAACATGTTGGCTGAGTCATCAGTTTCAAATGTGTTTCACATATCCCCCACTCTGGCCGGTGAGCCAGCTGCCATGACCTATCGGTTAATAGCCAGCCGGGTTCGGTACAAAAGCCTGCGCTATTTAATCTATCGATTAATAAGCTGCGGAGCACAGTAATTACACCAGCTGCCTTCAATCTGGTGATTAGTAGGCAGCATGGTTCGCTGCAGGGATCTGATGGTTATGACTCTTCAGTTATTAAACCACAGACCTCGCGGCATTCTTCTGTCCGAGATACGCCACCTATACACGGTCATAATGAGCCCATGAGCGCTGTGGTAACGCCTCATGTGGATATTACTGCACACACCTCCACCCATCCTCTGAGCGTGTACACGCCTCATGATGCGAGGCGGAGTGATACGCAGCGTGTGGAGGCCTCCGCACAGCCCTTTCGCTCTAGGCCCACCTTGGGTTGCCTCACGGGCAGCGGCGGCGAGGGCTCTGGCGTGGCTCGTCGTCATGACAACCACAACACATCTCGAGCATGCGCGCCCGCTGTCAGAGTGTTTCTCGGCGTGGCAGCGCATGTGTTTGATGGACAGATGGATGAACAGGCTGATCAGCAGAGGGTACACCCTGCAGTTCGCCTCCCCCCCCCACAGTTCAACGGGATACAGGTGACATGCCTAACATCCCGTGAACAGTGTATTGCGCTCCAAGCAGAGCTACGGGAACTCCTGTTGAAAGAGGCTATTTCCAGGGTTCCCCAGGAGGAAGAAAATCAGGGGTATTACTCCCGCTATTTTCTTATCCCGAAAAAGACAGGGGGAATGAGACCCATCCTCGACCTGTTTCACATGCTGACGGTCAAAAAGGTGCTAGAGTGTGTTCACCAGGGAGATTGGTTCACCTCTATAGACCTAAAGGATGCATACTTCCATGTACCCATCATTCCGCAACACAGGAAATTCCTGCAGTTTTCATTCCAGGGAATAGCGTACCAGTACAACCGTCTGCCGTTCGGCTATTCCCTGGCTCCTCGTACTTTTTCAAAGTGTGTAGAGACGGCGTTGCAGCCGCTACACAGAGGAGGGATGAGAGTACTATTTTTACCTGGACGCAGTGCTTGAATTGGAATGAAAAAGGTGCCAGTACTCTAAAATCAGCAACTTTTTCAAGTCAATTTTATATATACAGCCCACAAACAAGAATTTGGCTACTATAATGCTGGTGGGTTTGTCTCTTTACTACTGTATATTTTAGAAAGGTTCACTGTTCTTAACATTTTTTATGATAGGCAGCGGATATGGCTAAAGCTCAGTAAGGTCAATATTAACTGAAAATATAGCAATCAAAGTCTAGATCTTCTGCTGAAGACACATGAAGCAGAGACCTTTCAGGTGAGAGCCCCTCTGGTGGTGTTCAACATTAATGACAAGGAAACAAAGCTCTGGTCAGAAGCATTTTTTATAAAAAGCTTTAACAAAATTAAGTATTTCTGTACATTTTGAATGCAATCTAACTTTCCAACTCAGAAAACGAAAAACGAAAAAGTGCCAAAAGTCTTCTCACATGGCTGAGCTGCTTTGCAATATACTTCACCACTGAAGAATACAAATATGTATAAAGTAAACTATGATGCAATCTAACTTTCCAACTCAGAAAAATGATAAAGAGCATGAACAAAGAACATGTAAAAACAAATGCAAAATTTGCACAATCTAAAATGAGAAACTGTAACTGCAAGTAACAAAGTCTGAGCCATGGTAAAGAGTTACATTGAACACCAAGCTGATCAGATAACTCCCTGGTTGGTCTGAAGTCCTTCTATCTCCAGGATCTGTACAAATCGGCACATTATGCCAAAAGTCTTCTCACTGGGTGAGCTGCTTTGCAATATACATTGTTAGAAAAGGCTCCAGAAGGCCTTGGGGACATCAGTATCAGGGGCTGGAGCTGGACAGGCTCTTTCATCAGCACTTCTCCTTCCCTTTGCCAGCCAGGACCTCACATACTGTTCCGGATTGAACTGTCCTAGTGATGGTCCATTACATTTAATGAAAACCAGGCTGGACAGTCGGCTGACAGAGAGAGCATTCCTTTTTGCAGTAAGGATATCGTTCATGCAGCTGAATGCCCGCTCACACTCACTAGTGGAGACAGCGATGGTTCGGACTGCTTTCAGTAGAGGCTCCATGGCAGCAGGTGTACGGGATGCCCTGGTTTCCTTGTATTCGCGAAAGCCCTGAACAGTCTCTCTTCTGTCCACTTTCAGCACTTCGCACAAACGTAGCACCTCTACGTCCCCATACTGTACGTCTAACTCCTCTTCAGGCCAACTTCCAGGATGGATAACTTTCATGTCCTGGATTAGCTGATTGTCCCGGGCCTCCCGGCCATGTAATGGGATTTCTCTTGTGCTGACATGAGAGGAGGTTGTGGAAGTCATTCTGTGTCTCAGATTCTCTACCATACTGCGGAAAAACTGACCTGCATGAATCTGTACAAGCCTGCCATTCTCACGCAGGGCAACACCCTTGAAGGACTTCTCAGCTAGAGCTGTATGAACTGTAGTCATGTGTGGGCCAGGCATGGTGACCATGGATTCAAAAACTCGTATTTCTCGAGTTAAGAGCCTATCTGCTGTAGGCAGTGTCATCTCTCTTTTTTGGAGTTGCCGAGAGAGGTCGCTGAGCTCTGTGAGCGCATCGTACATCAGTCCCAGATTGCTGACAAACGTTGCAGATGTGAGCACATCATCCAGGCCCTTGTACTTTGCTCTGTCTCTGGAATCCCTGCTCGTGTCGTTTGCAGCATTTGTGAAGTGATCATGAAGCACTCGGTAGTTTTCCCAGACTGCTCTGACGCTCCTTTCACTTGAAGCCACCCAGCGGATGGACAAAACACGCCCTATCACCAGGAGACGCTGTCCGACTGCTTGCGCACACTGCGCTAACTGCCTCTGATTTTTGGGGGAGGCATGGAACAAGGAATAGAGTTTGTCAAAAAAGATCTGGAAATGATTGAGCCCTGAGACCTCCTTGACCACATCCCCAACTGCCAGCTCGAGACGATGATTGGAGCAGTGCCACACAAACAGGCTTGGGAATTTACTACACAACTGGGTAGCAACGCCTGTTCTCTTCCCTAGCATGACTGAAGCCCCATCACATGCAAAAGAAACGAAACACTGACCTAAAAAGTCCTCGTTAAAATCTCTTCCAAGACACTCCATTAACGCCTTTGTGATGTCATCAGCCGTTGTTCCATCCAACTCGATCAGCTCCCAAAAAAACGTTTCGGGCTCAGCATCAGCTAATGCTGAGCGTAGACACACAACAAGCACCGTTTTACCACTAATAGTGGTAGATTCATCGACCAAAACACAGAGTTTTCTTTGGTTTTCTGTAATGTCTTTTGCCATTTTTTTCTTCAGCTCATGAGCTATGTGGTCGATGATTTCGCCACAGGTTTTATTGGAGTGCAAAACCCTGCCCACGTTCAGCCCATTCAGTTTCTGTACATTCAAATCAATTGGCATGTCTGTGAATGGCCGGCTATGTTTGCCAATTTTATATGCCGTTCGAAAAACTCTGATAGTGGTGTCTAATTCAGATTTATGCATAGACTGCACTTGATGTTGAATAGTTTCACGTGAAGCAGATGTAAGGATGTCAGCAGCTTTTACATGGGCTTGTGATTCTTTATGTTCTTTGATTTTTTTTTCTCAGGCTAGCTTGTTGTTTGCCCTTGTCAACACCGAAATGAGACACTGCACACTCACCCCATTCAGTTGACAGTTTCAGTCCTTGTCCAGTGTGTATTCCCAAAGATTTGACATCTCTGCATATCCGACATCCTAGCTTCTTATCTTTAAGAAGGAGCCATGCATTGGTCTTGCAAAAATATTGCACCTGGTCCGTTGTCCAGCAGTCAGGTGCATCGCTTTGCCCGGTGTTGGTGGTGGCAGTTGCGCCAGCAGCAGCTAACGTTAGAGGCTCTGGAGGAGGCGGCGGAGCTAGTGCTAATGCTAATACACTAGAACTTGGAGCAGGAGGATCAACCAAAGAAAGCTCCCCATCAGACACAATTTCCAACACAGGCACAGCATTCTCTGTATTTGAAGTTTCTTCCGGCGACAACCGCTGTCTTTTTGCACTTTTATTAATCCACGCTAACATTTTAGAAATGCTAATTTGTGACGTGACTTGCTTTCCTTCTCTCGGGGGCGTGCCTGCTCTGTTCTATCACTCTACATAGCCACCCACTGGGTGGGAGTTGCACTGCATAAACACAACACACGTGCATCTAGGTATGTAAATTGTAAAGCATTAAAACATGGTTTTACTAACAGTTTTCAGTATGTTGTTACTTCGGCATTATTATTATTATTATTATTTTGAAACGTGTATTACTATTAAATCACGGTCAAATAGGTTAATTTTGACATAGTCGTTTCCACCACAGTATTTACATGGAGAAGATAAGCCCCGCCCCCTCTCCAGCACGTTCTGTTTGAATGACAGGAGTAAACAGCTGACAGCCACTGTGAAACTCCAGCGGTTAGAGCGATGAGAATGTCCGTTCGGCACCTCATGACGCATCTACTGAGTACCGGGCGGCTGTATATATATATATGGATGTATAATAAGAACGGCGGGAGAGTGTTGAGTACTGGCACGGTGCATGAGTACCGGACTACCGCCAGCATGCCGGTACTGAGCAAGAAGTGCCGGTACTCCATGGGTCAGAACCAGAAGTGCCGGTACTGCGTACCGGTGAGTACCGGCCCAATTCCAGCACTGCAGTGGAATTGAAAACTCAGCCAGCAGCAGAGCGCTCTCTGGCAGCGAGTGAGAAACTGACAGCTCTCCTCCGGCGTGTCACAAACCACACAGCCCTCTCCGTAACGCAGCTGCTCGGCATTAGCGTCAGCTGGTCACGGGGGGGATTCCCCTGGGTCTCCCCCACAGGGGGAGTCTCCAGAGGTGCTTCATTCACTGCAGAAGCCTGCTGTTTTAACCTATTGGTTTATAAACTGCAGAGCTCGAGGCATTCCTCTGTCCCAGATATGCCTCCTACACACGGTCATAATAAATCCACGAGCACTGTTATAACGCCTCGTGAGGACAGCATACACACACCTCTCATCCTCTGGGCGTGTACACGCCTCATGATGAGAGACAGAGTGGAATGCAGCGTGTGGAAACTCCCTCGCAGCTTTTTTGCTTCACCGGCTGCAGCGGCGAGGGCGTGGCACGTCACCATGACGACCATTACGGCACATCACAGAGAAGCCTCTCCCCCCAGCAGTTCCATGGGATGCAAGAGGTCGGAGGAAGAAGAAACATCTCATCTCCTCTGGCCGGGGCGCGCGCTGTCTGCTATGTAGCGCGCACGGCGGCATTGCGCCGTTCTCAGCGTCTGTTTGTGCATAACAGAGAGCGCTCGATCGGGCAACCTCTGTCTACACAACGGCTGTCACACTGGCTGTGTGAGGCTGTGTCACAGGCATATGTCTCCTCTGGGGTGGAGCCCCCGGAGAATATCAAAGCGCACTCAACCAGAGGAATTTCCTCCTCCTCGGTGTTGCGCGGAGGAATGTCAGTGGAAGATATTTGCACGGCTGCATCTTGGTCTTCCCCCTGTTCATTTATTCAATTTTATTGAGGGATGTCTCCCTTTCCTCTCTGACACGCCCTGTACTGGGTGTCCTGTCAGAGTGAGTGACGTCAGGGATCCAGCTGTGCGCCACTCTCCTGCCTCTCGGCACACAGAGAGCGGCCCTTTTTCCCCTCGTAGGAGAGGGACGTTCCCCTTCCTCTGACACACTTCGTAGGGAGTGCCTGGTCAGAGTGAGTGACGTCAGGGATCCAGCTGAGAGCTCTCCTACCTGGCTGACACGGAGAGAGCGGCTGTTCCCCCTCTATGATCGCAGGACAAGGTGGGACCTTCGTCTCTACTTTCTCACAGCGGTCGGTATGTATTGTTCCCAGCCTTCACCCCGTCAGGAAAACAGGTATGTTTGCTCCAGGGACGGGGATGTGCTATTACGCATGGCACAACAGGCAGGGGGGTGTTATTAAGCAGGTATGTCTGTGCTTCTAGTGCTGGACGGACCCAGTGGGGCGCAGACTACATTATGCTTCGCCCTTAACCCAATAGCGATAGCCTGGTAACCCAGCTTCTATGAGTATTGGCGCAGCCCTCTAAGCGCTGGGCCCCACTGGCTCTACGAATAGCTGAAGAAAAGTTATATTGTATGGGAGCAGATCGCCGGGCAACCTCCCTATTTATACCGGAAGGAGGCCCGAGGGTGGGGCCCACCTAGCGGGTGGGCGTGGACTACAAGTGTTTTCAGTACTGCGCGGGGGCGCAGAAGGGTAAACCCAATAGCGATAGCCTTAGAGGGCTGCGCCAATACTCATAGAAGCTGGGTTACAGTAGGTAACCTCAGTTCTGTTCTCCCTGTCATGTTTTCCTCCTTGTGTATTGTCTGGTCCTTCTCCCTGTGTTTTCCTCCCTGTCGTTAGTTTCCCTGGTTTCCCTGATTGTGTTCACCTGTTTCCCTTGTGTGTCTCCTGTGCTCACCAGCACCAGCCCCGCCCCTGATTGTCCCCACCTGTGTCTTGTTACACTGTGTTTAAATTCCCCTGTCTCCCAGTGTTCAGTGTCAGTTCGTCTTGTCTCTTGCTATCGTCAGGTCTATGCTCTCTTTGTGCTCTTGAAAAGTTGTGTTCCTCACTACGTGAGCGATTTCATTTTGTTCTCAATTTTTGGCATCTCAACCTGAGATTCGATAGTGACCTTTTTTTGTTCATCTTGCTTTTTTGGAAAAAATTAAGTATCTTAACAATACTTTACCTCTGTCTCCCGGGTCGTGCAATTGGGTCCTACATCCTGATTGTCTGAGTTTATAACAGCAGTCAAAGCATGCAACGCAGTTTAACCTATTTTCCCAGTGGATGCTGGGTAGTGTAGCTACTTTCCAAATAATGGAACATTTCTAGTTTCAAACTTGTTTTTAAAAAAACAGAAGTGATCTGCATCAAGAAAGCTGTTCCCCAGCCACAACCACTCTTTCTTATTGTGGTGTGATAACCTTCACCACATAACAATGAGTTCAGTGGCTTTAGAGTAGCTGTAGCTTACAGTGACTTTAAGATGAGCTCCTTCAGAATCAAATGTGTAAAAACTGGTATTGAAATTGCTTTAATATAGATTTTTTGTCTCATGTTAGATGGAAAGGAGGGAACACTCCTTTGCTCTGTAATTTTAGTTTAATCTCCTGGATAAATAATATGATAATAATAATGTATCTAAATATCTTCTCTAATGTCTTGCTCACTTACTCTATTCCTTGTCTTCCTCTCAGAGACGGATTGATCAGTAAGGACGAGATGATAGCGTATTTCCTCCGGGCCAACCCACTGCTCCAGTGTAAGATGGGTCCAGGTTTCATCCACAACTTCCAGGAGATGACATACCTGAAGCCCACCTTCTGTGAACATTGTGCTGGATTTGTGTGTATCTTCCATGCCTTTTTTTCTTCTCTTAGCAATAAACAGGCAAATATTGTAATTATTGTAAATATTGCAAATATTGTAATTAGTGACCGGCCTGCATTAAGACCACATGTGGGTCATGACCTGGTCATGACACTTGTCCAGTTCAGCCACAGACTGGATCTCTCTACTTGGTTGGATTATATTACTAATGGCCTGGTACATGTGTAGTTTTCAGCAGCAGTGCCTGGTTATTGAGTTCTCACAGATGCAACAGGAAGTGTTGTCATGACTAGGCTTTTGGAACATGCCTCCATGCTTTTATTATTCTTATGTTATGTTTTGTGCTTTGTGTTCCTAATTCCCATTCTCTACATTTCTGGACCTGTAGCTGTGGGGAATCATCAAACAGGGCTACAAGTGCAAAGGTATTGTTTAATTGCATTCATCTGTAAAGACCATAAACACAACATGCAACTTACTGTGATTACTGTAATGTAAAAAGGCCTAAAAGACCGTTATTCTATTGAAGCCAATAGAGTTAAACAGAAAACAGCCATTACGAAAGACAAGTCAATTAAGGCTCATCTTGCTGCCAACAGTATATCCAGTATATTTTAAATGTATGCAATATTAAATAGGATATATTATTCAGATGTTCCGGTTCATATCTGTATTTACTGCCTCTACTGTGACATGATTATAAGCTTTAATGTTCCAACATTTCTTTATTTTTGTCATACTGCCTGTGATGCAGCACCTCTTTTCACACCGTCTGAAATGAGGAATGAGCCTATCACCTACAATGTGTTCGAGCACAAGCCAATAGAAGCTCGAGTGTTACATAGTGATATCACTATTTTACGGAAGTAAAACAGTTGACATGCACAAAAACCTATATAAACACACTACAGGAAAGGGAAGACCCCAAAGATATAAATGACCCATTCTGTCTGGCAGAATGTTTGTTAATGCTTGTATATTCCTTTTCCGTTCCGTTCACAAATTGTCAATTCGATGTAGTAGTTTCAATACTGTTACCGCATTGTCTGTCAGACATTTTTGTTGTTTTAGGATTGTTGTCCTGCTGGAAGAACAATTTACAACCAAGCTGCACATTTATTTTTAGCTGATGTCTTGAAATGTTCCTTCAGTATTTGCAGATAGTTTTCCCTCCTCATGATGCCATTGATTTTCTGGAGTGCAACAGTCCATTATCCAACATCACAACTCCATAAGATTGTGCAGCAGATAGAAAGCCTCCTCCACATATACTTCTCCTATCTCTCTCTCTCTCTCTTTCCTCACTGCAAGGCAAGGCAAGGCAAGGCAAGGCAAGGCAAGTTTATTTATATAGCACTTTTCAACACAAGGCAATTCAAAGTGCTTTACAAAAAATGAAAGAGATTAAGAAAATGGCATTTAAAATCAGTCATTAAAAAGAAAAGCTAATAAAATAAACATTAAAAGAAAAAATACATGGATAAAAGTTACAGTGCAATTAAACATTAAAAGAAAAAAGTACATGGATAAAAGTTACAGTGCAGTCTAAGATATGAATAGTTCAATTAAAAGCAGCGACAAAAAGAAAAGTCTTCAGCCTGGATTTAAAAGTAGTCAGAGTTGCAGCAGACCTGCAGGTTTCTGGGAGTTTGTTCCAGATATTTGGAGCATAATAACTGAACGCTGCTTTACCATGTTTAGTTCTGACTCTGGGGACAGAAAGCTGACCAGTCCCTGAAGACCTGAGAGATCTGGATGGTTCATAATTTAGCAGGAGGTCAGAAATGTATTTTGGGCCTAAACCATTCAGTGCTTTATAAACCAGCAGCAGTATTTTGAAATCTATTCTTTGACACACAGGAAGCCAGTGTAAAGACTTCAGAACAGGAGTGATGTGATTCACTTTCTTAGTGTCAGTGAGGACTCGAGCAGCAGCGTTCTGAATTAGCTGCAGCTTCCTAATAGATTTTTTAGTGAGACCTGTGAAGACACCATTGCAGTAGTCGAGTCTACTGAAGATAAAAGCATGGACAAGTTTTTCCAAATCCTGCTGTGACATTAGTCTTTTAATCCTAGATATATTCTTTAGGTGATAGTAGGCTGATTTAGTAACAGTTTTAATGTGACTGTTGAAACTCAGGTCAGAGTCCATGACTACACCTAGATTTCTGGCTTTATCTGTTGTTTTGAACATTGCACACTGAATTGCAGCTGCTCCTGTCCACAAGCTTCTCATAAATCACACTAGGTGGGAAAATCCACTATTATATTTAATTGTAATAAGAGCAAGCAGACACATTCCAGGCTGCTGCTCGAGAGAAGGGGGGGGGGACAAAGACAAACTATGGTCTACCAAAACATTTATCAACATAAAACAAGACCTTTACTAATCAACAATGACAACCAACAGACAGAACAATCAACAGACAGATTTCCGAACGTCTCGTCGGCCCTACTCTGTCTTCTGCTATCATTTTATTGCGTAGGAAACGGAGATCTGTGGAGGACTTTTTACGATCCGCCATTTTAATCCCACTGCTAATACATTTTTCAGCTTGAACCCACTGTTCTTGTAAGCTCCTAACTCACGCTCTTCTCATTCAAATTCTCCTTCCATTATGACTTCGTATCTATTATCTGACTAGGTTGATATGTGTTCACTTGTATTTATTAATATACTGGACAATTCTTGTCGTTACTCTTAACTGTCCTTAATTCAGACGTGTGTTTAGAGTCGGAGAGGTCCTGATAATTTATTCCGGTAAATTACTCTGACCTACTAATTGACCTGACCGAAGTTATTGAGTCTATGTAAGGTTGCTGCTTGGCTCAGATCCACCAACGTCAGCAAGATCTCACCTCTTCCTAACCCCCCGAAGAACCAGGTTCAATTAACTGCTGTTTCAATTCAGACAACTCTTTTTTAATCTGTTTAAGGGATCCCGAAGGATTTTGATATCAGTAAATGGAGTGTGCTCCTACCTAAGTGTGTGTGTGACAGGGTGCAATCTTACATTTGAAGCAGGAGAGGATTGCACAGGTTGTCTTTTCAATTATCCCAGTCCAACAGGTGGGAGTTTATTTGAAGAAAAATAGGTCCAAACTAATACAGGGTTTTTACCTTCTCTCTTTACAACATTATAATTATACTAAAAACCATGGTGCTGTGATCATGTTCAAATATGAAACTTTAATTCACAGTCTTACATTTATTACCAAAATGTTTTAATTTCAACTGCCCAATTCAGTTGTGACATTTTAAAATTCTCCCGATAGAATTTAGAGATATTTCCTCGTAAAAAGACCAGTGACCATAAAAAGCGCATTCAACTTTCCATTCACCAAATCAATTCACATCAGTTTCATACCTTTTTTTCCGACACAGACGGCGGGTATAACATTCAAAAACCCATACCTATCCGCAATAATTCGGAGGGGAGATTTTCCTCACAGGGGGCGGGTTATAATATTCATACACTTTTTACGACACAGACGGCGGATTAACATTCAAAAACCCATACCTGTCCGCAATAATTCGGAGGGGAGATTTTCCTCACAGGTGACGGGTTATAATATTCACAAACACATCTCTCATCAAATCATTCCACTCAGCCAACAACCAAGAAATTCGAGAGATATTTACCCCGTCTGGGAGGACCTTACCGAGAGCTATTTACCCAGCTCTGAAGCACACAGCCTACCGGGAGAGAGTCTACCAGGGGTTCCCCCCCCCCCCCCCCTCTCTCTCGCGCTCTCTCAAAAAACCAGTCTCTTTATGCTAAAAAAACCGGAACGAAACCCCAAAAAAAAAAAACTCCTCCTCTACACCCAATTTGTGGAAAACTGCGCATGCCCTCTAATGTACAAGGCTGAACATGACTCGACATGTTCCATAGCTATGGCATAAGACGCACCTTCCTATGTTAGTGTAAAAAGGACTTGACCCTTTTTTGAGGCCTCTGTGTTTCTCCTTAAGCCTGGAGCCCCCCTCCCTGTGAAGAGAGGGGGAGAAAACGGCCTACTCTCTTCAGAGACACCCATAAATCATAGACCTTACACACTCAACCTAAACAAACCACTTTGTTTTGTTTATACTGTAACTATAGAAAAACCTAAAGTATGAAGTATTTTTCATTGTGGGTTATACACAAATATAATTGATTATATTTGATTATAACTAACTTTCGTTTTAAGTATTAAACATACTATGAAAACTCACAACACCCTTTTTTCAAAACGCAAAGTTATCAAATAGCAACAGAAAAAATTGTAAGCATACATACATATTCAAAAACCGTCAAGAAGCATTCTCATTATGGGTTTATACAAGAATATGATTTGTCAGATATGATTTATAATTAACTTTCGTTTTTAAGTATTCACTTCATACTATGATCTCAACACCCTCTCTTCAAAATGCAAAGTTATCAAATAGCAACAGATAAAATCGTAAAAACACATACATATTACATCCGTAAAACTCCAAGCATCAATATCATGAAAAGTTCTTCAGTATGTGTAATCAGGACGACCTTTTGATGAACCTGGTGTGAAAAACACCGAAAACATGGTACCTCACTGGAATGTTCTCGAGCGAGGAGCCCATCTGTTGTTCCAGTGTAGACTCCTAAATCCATGTTGCTATCTGATGTAAATCCTTGACCCTGACCATGGAGGGGTTGCAGTTTTTCGCTGGACAACATCTCCAAACGAAAACCAGATAACTCGGTCGACAGTTGTTATGGATTTTTTAGACCTCGTCAATAATCGCTCATGACTTTGTGACAAGGTCAATGAGTCCCCACACAATGATAGCACAAACGAGGAACCAGAGGCATATGAAACAGCTTAGCTGGCACTCGCTCATGACATCCTGTGTGTGCAGTGTGAGATTAGGTGTATGTGGTGCGAGTGTGGTGCTGGTGGTGACTTGGCACGTCACTTGTTGTCGTATTCCGTTGGTGACTAGGACACGTCACTTGTTGTCGTATTCCGTTGGTGACTAGGACACATCACTTGTTGTCGTCTGTTTCTACCGTCTCTCCTGGCCTGTGACTACGACCTTGCAGTGGCTGACATGGACCCACGTGGCTCTCTCGGTGACCTTGACCGCTGTCTGGGTGATGAGGAGCACCTGGTAGGGACCTTGCCAACGCTTGGATATTTAGCTCTTTCTCCGGAAGTCCTTGACCAGCACGAAGTCGCCGGGTTGGAGATGGTGAAGTGGACCAGTGGCAGGGGGTAGGTAGGGCTGCTGCTACCTGGCGTCTGATATCTGACCATGCAGTTATCAGGTAGTCGTCATCCTTTTCTGGGAAATCCACTGCGATCGGAGTGGCTCAGCGGGTAGAGATGCAGCCTGTCCCACAGAGCTGGAAGAAACTTCATCCTCCACAGGGGTACAGGTGACTCAGCCGCTGATCCA